GAATTACAGGTGTGAGCCACTGTGCTGGCCAGAATAGTTTTAAAAATGCAGTTTTCTGTGACTCAACCTCAGAAGTTTTAATTAAATTTTAGAGCTGGAAAAGACCCACATTAGTGACATCCTAAAGAACTTTTACATTAATTGATATATGTATGCTTTGTTATCTCTTGGAGAGAGAGAAGGTAAAACAAAACAAAACAACCCCCAACAACTCCTGAGATGGTGCTTCTCTGGCTGGAAAGCCTTAGCCCAATGACTTGGGAAGATGAATGAGTTTGGCAATTGTCTTTTATCTGAGAATGTTATGAACTGAATAGACTGGGGCTGTGTTTGTGTTCTCAGGTTAATTGCTTATTTAGCTGGCATTCTTTTGGGGCTGCTAGTCCATTTGTTAATTCTGAAAGTTGTTGGACATTTGTTTAATAAAAACAAATATATTTGGAGAAATCCAGCTTTCCAACTAGTCATGTTAGTGGGCATAAGACACTTGGTATAAAGTCATGTTTTAAGATATTTTAGTGTGTGGTACATAAGATAAAAGCAAAATGTCTTTTGGAAGGAAATTTTCAAGTTAATTGATACATTTCCTAAGTTTGTTATTCTGTTTTGGCAAAATACTTATGTATCTGAGAATATAAAGTAGGTAAAGACGTAATTAAGACATTTATTTGCATGGCAACTATGGAAGATATGTAATTGTTATTTGTCAATTGATAATAAAGTAAGAGAGATTTAAAAAAATTTTTTTTGTTAGAATCACTTAGATTTTTCTGTCCCTACATTAAGAGTACCAGGTTCAGCCATTTTTCTAGTAACACATGAAGTCTTATTTAACTAAGTATTATGCTAGAAGAGAATACTAAAACTGTTCCTGATAGTGTTTCTGTCCTTCAGTAATGTAAGGGTTATTTTGTTTGTTTGTTTTGTGTTTTCAGAGACTGTAGTTACCATCTAGAAGCATATTAATTCAAGTTCATCACAAAAGTATGTGCAGAACAACAGTGTACTTGAACTTGAGATTCAAGTTAAAATTCAATATTGGCCCTTTACCTAAAGCTGCTGATGTTTGAGTAACAGTTGTGACCATTTACTGAAACACGCTAGAAATACAACTAGCTTTTATCAGAAGAGAGGATAAATAAAAGGGCTATTAGAATGATTTAAAAAATAATATTTTCTTTTTGGCTTTTTCCAAAGAAAAATCAAGACAAGACTTCATTGGTTCTGTTTCATCAAGTACTTTATGTCTCCTCCCAGTTGGTCAGGCTCCTTTTATGTGGCATTTAAGCCTTGAGTTGTTGTGAGTCAACAAATGGACAACAACAAATGTTCAGCCATCTTATTGGTGTTAAGCCTAGCAAATTGGCAAATTATATGAATACACCAAATGCATAAACAAGTTCGCATGAGCCAAGGATTCCGAATGAGGACAGCAGCTGCTGGTTATATCTTTAAGAACAGAAATACCCCTCCTCATCCTCTAATCTGTTATTGCCCCGGGTTGGGAAGTGTCAGCTGTAAGATTTATAGATTTAGGGCTCTGGGATAACAAGTTGCCTCTTTGAACTTTTTGGCTCCAAGAACTTCTTGTTATCCAACTAGACAGAGATAAAAAGACATATTTATGCTTCCCCTATATAATTCTTGACTCATTCACAGCATCAGAGGTGGGCCAAATAAATAAATAAATAAATTATATATATGTATTTGGATATTGATATAAACTACTCATCAATAATAATTTTCAGAAGCAGCTCCCTTCAACTGGTAAACTCTGTTCATATTGCTCCCTGGAACAGAAAACTCCAAGAGCTGCACATGTTTTGCAGTTTGAGCTCACCCCAACACCAGTCCTTTTTTGTATCGATAAGGTTCTTCTCTTACTCTTCGCCAAACTCCCCCTTTAAAATTGTGGTGTTTAGAAGTACAGTTTTATGCTTTGGAGGATCCTTGCTTTCTAATAGAAATTGAATATCTATGGTTCATTATTCAGCACTGAACTTGATAGGGGAAACATTTCTTGGTAAATCAATAAAACCAGACTTGCATGTCGCTACAAATAATCAAGTGGCAGGTAAACGAGACTTCTGACCTAGTTGGTCCTCTAACTGCTTTGGATCAAAAGGAACTGGTGAACCACTTGGTCTATAAATCTTCCTTTCTGTGATTCCATAGTGTCAGGAGAACATTTCCATGGATATTTTACTTATACAGAAAAACGAAACCTCAATCTCAAACCGCCATTTATAAAACCCACAAGCTCCTGGGCTGTCATTTGGGTTGCAGACTCGAAGCTCCCTTTCTGGTTGTGTTCTGTGTGGTGGCTGCATGCCTGTCTGATGGGGATGCATTTTAAAGGCAAGACGGATCTAAGGATATAATTTAGTGACATTTCGCTGACTGCACTCCTTGCTATGTACATGTCTCTTTATATATTTTACTATTTTGCCAATATTCAGTCACCTCTCAGCCTACTTGAGACGGGCCTTACAATTTTGTGATGGCTTCCTACATACGTTAATGGCTCAATAAATATGTCTGATGACGGCATTACCCATTCTGTTAATTATAGTACTATTTTTCGACTATGTGTAGGAACCAGTGTATATTTAACAAGTGAGCTGACTAAATGCCATTAAATGAGTTGTCCTTATTTTGGTTTATGTCTTGCCCCAATTTTAAGTTTGCAAATTGAAATCTAGCATTTAACCACTGCTTTTAACTCTCTACCTTTTAATTTTGAATACCAAATATGGCAGAGTTATTCAGGTGGCCAAGTAGACTTTTTCTGACCTTGAATGTGGTTTACTGGTATTACACTGGAAAAAAGAGGATGTCAGTATTTGCTGTTTTAGCATAGCATAAGCCCTTGCAATTTCCCAAAGATCATTTTTAAAGTCTGACGTGCAACTGCCTGACATCTACATTTTTAGCTGAAAGGCATCTTCCCTGTATTTGTGTTTAAGTGACCCTGGAATGTAATGCAGGGATAGGTTGCTGTGGGTTAATCTTTGGACACTTCATGTCTGACAGGCACCAGCATCTGTGGTTTATATTGCATTGTTCGTTAGGTCTAGAAATAAAATTCTCCTAAACCTAATGATAGTCAGGGGAATGTTTACTAAGATCAGTTTCCTTCCACTTGCACAGTTTTAAAGCTGGAGGTAAAAAAATAGCACAAATGTTATTTAAAAAAAAAACACCAAAAAAACCTGTCATCCAAAAAGTAATTCATAGCACTGGTAAGGTTCAAGTCACCCCATGGGCTCATGGTTTGTGGTAGATGTCCATGAAGGTGTATTCCTTTTGTTAGGGATGTTTTATATCCAAGTGCTTTAATATGGATGCCAGGTATTAATTAGCATAGTCTTAATTGGGGAAAAGTGTATTTTTGTGTGTCTATATATGTGGGCTAAGGCATTATTATAAGTGTGTTTCCACAGCACAACCCAAAAGTCAAAGGAAATGCTTTTGTTTTAATATAATGTTGATAGAGTCTGGGTAAGACAGTCCTGCGTTGAAAGTTGAGCAGACCACAATTCATTTTTATGCAGTCAAAGAGCTTTTGGCCCTACGAGGTAGGGCGTATAATCTTATTACAAAGCCCTTTAAAATCAATTAAAAAAAAATAAAACAACCTTAAGTGCGGTAGTATTGAGTTCATTCTTTTTTTTTTAAGAAACTATTTTCCACTACATTACTCTATTCAAATGTACCCCAATGGTTTTTATTTAAAAGATAACTTCTATTATATGTATGTATTCACAGCTGTCAAAAATATGTGTCATTCTTTGTCTTACAAATCCCTGTTCTCAGCCATTTCAGAGTCTAATCCTTAAGGCGGCCATTTTGCTGAAAAGCAGTTAAAGAAACAGTCTGTCAGCCTGGTCTGCTTCTTGCTGAAAAAGCGTCATTTCTTCACCCAGTGTGAGCTTTAGTTCCAAATGTTTGAATGATGTAAAATTAAGGTCAGAGAGTCAAATATAAAAAATAAATCTTGCAGGCAGAGCCCTCATTAGCATCTACTCATCAATCTCCCAAACCTAGGAGCTGGGAGACCATTGTACTGTTATCCTCCTGATATCTAGCTGATAGCACATTTAATGGAACATGCTGGCAGTTGTGAAGGGCAGCTGATAATAATGGTGCAAACTCAACAAAAAAGTTTAGTAAAATCTGCAGGAGGTGTTTTCTATCATTTGGCCTTGTTCTGTTGGTTGCTGGCATTTGCTTGGCAAGAGAGAGAGGTGTTCTTCTTTTCTCCCCAGCTAAAGAGATTTTAACTGTGCTTAAAAATACTGAATGTGCACTTCTATTACTGCCTTGCCCTGACAAGACCAATGGAAGCAATGCAGTTGCATATTGAGTAGGAAAGTCCACCCAAACTGTTACAAATGTATGTAAACCTGAAAAGAATGTGCATTTTTTGATAATGCAATTGAAAGCAAGGCTCGGTGACTATCAAAAAGCTCTTTCTCTCTTTCTGTTCAAGATGTAGTAAATGGACACATAATTTTAGAAAGCAGGGTAAATATTTTTTCTTCAGGATTGATGGCATGTTTTTCTGCTTAACCACTTCTATGTGAAGTTAGATGAACTCTTTTATATATTAATAATTAGATAGCATCTTAAAACATATGATGGATCATTTCTCTTCCCTGCAGAGTTTGTGAGAGGAAAGTCAGCCTAACAATAGGGCCAATTTCGCTAATTAAAGTCATGCCCAGATGGGTTAACATGATGTTGATGTTTGGCTTTAATAGAGCTTAGAAAGTGTACTGAGTCTTGAAATGTTCTGTTTGGAAAGCTTTGCTCTGTAAAATTTGCCTTTAACATGGCTGATGACCCTTCATTAGAATGATACACTGTACTTGATGGAATGGTATCTATTGGAGAAGAGACAATATTGGTGTGTCTAAGTAGTATTATTTTTAATGCATTAAGATACCTATTACTGTGCATGGCATTTCTGAGTACCTGTCTTCTCTGCTCTGTTTCAGGTGTGAATCACGGCAATACAGTGCAAGACAGTGATTTACTGCTTTGGAGGGCATGCACGTGTATGATTAAGGGATATAAGTGCAGGACTCCCAAGATTTACTTCCTTCCTGTTCCAGCAGGGTCACCTGAGGGGAGTGAGTAATGGGATAATTTATAACACCACAGGCCCTTTGTCAAGAGACCACTAGTCAAAACAGGAAGATAAAACTCAGAAGATTTCAACTGGGAGAATACAACTTTTGATACTCTCTGGATATACCTCTTAATTGCAAGCAGGAGAGTCTTCACAATTTTCTTGTTTTGTTTTTTCAAGGAGATAGATGTTCATTAAAAAGGTTAGTATGTCCAATCTTGGATAAATCATCTAGACACTGTTAAATTGTATACCTCTCTCCACCATGCTTTTTGTTCATGATATTCTTATGTTGTTGGGACATCAAGAAAACTTAGTGGTGTAATTATAGAACTCAGATTCTTTTTAGAAGATCAAAGGATTATTAAGTATTAGGAGGATAATGAAAAATATAGCAACATTTTTAGGGGTGAGGTGGAGCTTATCAAAAATTACTAGCCTATGTTTCTTAGACTTTTTTATTCTCATTTATATATATTTTATTCCAGTTTTGAGTTGATGAAATAGAGGATGGGTAGATTAATAGCTTCTTTCCTAACTCTTGTGTGTGTGTATGGGCATGTACGTGTGTATATGCATATATGTGTATATGTATGTAAGGCAAAAGGGTTTAGCTGGCCTTGGAGATGGCTTTCTAGTTTTTGTTTTTTTTTTGTATTGTAAGCCAATACATATAGGAGACTTGAGCAGGGCATTTGATTACATTCAAATAGTTTGCTTCATCACCAGTGGTTCTGATACAGTCTTCTGTGTGTTGTTTATTTTTGTACTTTTTAAACAAAATGGTAGATAACAGTATTTCAAAAAAGAATCACCCTAAAATTAAAAGATACATCATCACTTTGGAACTATTTATTGTTCAGAGGTGTCATGGCACTATCTAATGTGATGGTCTTCTGACTTGGTAACATTCGATTCATGAAGATCAAGTACCACAAAAAAGTGATATTTTTATGTTAAAAATATCAATTTCACCTCTGACTTTGGCATGTCTTAGTGGTTGGCAGTAGACTTTCTCATATTAGATATTAAGATAAAATGGGAATGGTTCAAAGCTCTTCCTTTTCTCCCATCTGCCCTAGGTGACTAAAACATTCCCATAAATCACTGGTACCCTTTTGAACTGACCTTCAGGTTCATGAGATGTAAATATTGATGGCCTTGACATTCTTCGGTAGGTATGTGCACAGTTCAGGAGGTACAATGTCTCCACATAACTGAAACCAGGTGGACGAGGGCTTAGACAGCGGTGGATTCTCACTGATCCCCGTAATTCAGAGAGGCCTTTGCCATAATCCTCTTTCTGGACTTTGTGCGGGGAGAATGTCTCATAGACACAGGAATCTACAAGTTCAGATCCTCTAGACTTTCTATGGTCAAATCTCGCTGGATTGGACCTGTGTTAATCTGCCATTATAAGGTGTTTTCTAGGGCAAACAATAAGAAAGTGAGTCCCTCCAGCCCTTCATTTGAAATTTAAGGACTCCAGTACCACTGTTAGGGTAATATTGTATAGTAACTAAGTGCTTGAGAACAGAGTTCCCAATTTCAAATTGTTAACCACTTACTAGCAATGTGACCTTAGACAAATTATGTCACTTCTCTCAGCCTCAATTTCCTCAGCCATATAGTGAGGATAATAGTAATACTTACCTTTTCTTTCCTTTTTTTTTTTTTAAATTAAATAGCTAACCAAATGTGATTAGCACTTTAGTAAATATTTCTTAAATGTTATTTATTAATAAACTTTCGGATATCCTGCGCTGACAGAGACTAACTCGCAAAATAAGACCTACAGTTTAAGAAATTCTTGTGTTTGGAGTGTATACTCAGTTACATGAAAGTCATATATTAGAAAAGATGAGAATAGAGCGCTCATTTTGCAAAATCATTTAACAAGTTTTATTTTGCTTCTGGTTTTAAAGAAATTTTTCTGGTCTTATGTAATGTGTGTATTAGAAATGGGAATATTAGAATACTTACTTCATTGTATTGTCAAGCATTATTGGTAGCCCTAATTTATATATCCATTGTGCTGCGGTTTTAGTTGCAGAACTACCCTCTGCAGGGATTATTATAGCACTTGAGGGGATGGAATTATAGCGCTGTGTTTTGGGCACTTTTTTCACTAAGAAGTATGGGCACCATGAGATGGCACTTACCCATCTGTCTGTTGAAGCATTTGTATGTATATTACCTGAGCACTTAGGCACACCACCAAGGAAAGGGTGTTTAAAATGGAAGGGAAAGAGGCAAAATTGAAAATAAAATAACATGATGAAAATAACAGAAGCCTCTTTGCAAAGAATCCCTAAACTATTCTTAAAAGCAGACTTAATAGCCAGCAGCAAAACTATTCACTATTGTCTTTAAGAAACAAAGCCCAATCCACAAAGTTGAAACTAAAGTGTGAATCTGGAAATTTTCCAAGGAAGTCAAGCAACACATGCTTCTAGGTCTCAAATTCAAGGGGAAAAAAAAATCCATTTTATAATACAAAGTAACTTCTTATATTGATTGTTTGCTGTCAATGCTTGATGGGTAGATCCTGAAACATTAACTGATTAAATTCTTCAATGCTATGCGGTCATACTAGTGGCCTCTGCTGTTCTGAGCTTCTAAATTTGTGTATTGACACATGGGAATTCACTAAATGAGCAATAGAGAGTGGAGTGGAACATTTTGGCATCAGCTTGAAATTTCCTAAAGAGAAACAGTGGAAAGATGTTGAATTCAATTGAAATATTATTTATTGATTGCCTTTGCTTTATAGCACCTAATAAATTGTCCAATCCCTTAAAAATACCCTGTCTGCCTAATTCTTTTTTGCTTGTATATACTCACACTTTTCAGTTTTACTTGAGGATGAGAGGTGTTTTTTTCTCCCATAGTTCCCATAGTCCATTGTCTTGATATTTTTCGCCTGGGTGGCCCCCTTGGCCCCATACACATGTGCTTCTGTGGAGCTTTTACACCCATGTGCTGAGAGTGGGGTCAGGCTTCCCAGAATTCCTTGTTGAGCTGCACATCTGGAAGCCTATGGGCTAATGACCTTGTGCAAATTTGGGTGATGGGGTAGCTGTGGAGATCAACTTCGTTTTACAGATGCAGAAAGTGAGGCCCAGAAAGGTGAAGAAATTTACTTAACATCATTCAGCCTACAAATGTCAGGACAGCGCCTAACATCAGTGTCATTCCAGCTTTTCCACCAAGGCATAAAGTAGCCATTGGTGTGCCAGGCTGAGTCTTGCTGAAGGGATTGCAGTGTAAGAAGATAGAATAAGAAATCAGGGTTTGGGACAGGGTTTGTTTGAAGTTGTATTAGAGGGATATCCTTTGGTCAGGAAGCATGAATATTCTTTCTCTGATATAAGGGAAAAGGAAGAGATTTAAAGTGTGACGAAGATCTTTTTTTAGTAACTGTTTACTTTCTATTGAAACCGTGGAACAATGAATATTTATTCCCGTCAGGTAATTTAGGGTAATGGACTAATGGACGATTTCTGGTTTTCCCTTATTGCCTCTTTTGGTCCCTGCTGTCTTTTGTTTTGCTAAAAAGGAGCTAAAAGAGAAAGCAAGTGAATTGCTTTCCACATCTGATAACTTCTGAAATCTCAAGTGAAACCTCTGGCTTGTATCCCAGGGTGAGGTCACCCGGTCTGATGGTAGCTGGATTGATGTTGATGTGTCAACCAAAACGCAAAGCACGTTGCCATGATTCCTTTACAGCCATTTGTCAGGTTGGGGGCAGTGGCTCTTGGGTCAGTTGTGTGCTTTATATTATTATTCAGAAGCATAGGTCATGCTTGGGCATATGTGTGTCTTTTCTTTTTCAATGGGTGGTTTTAAATTCATGTGGAAAACGTGACTTTTAGTTGTAACTGGTATTATGGTTTTGGCCTTGTCTGTGCTCACTTATACTCTTGAATTCAGACCTGTCTGAAAGTGCTTGGAGGTCTGGTGTTTTGGTTTTCAGAAGTTTGTTTTCATGATAAAAGGTACCCCTGGGAAAGACCTCATTCTATAGGAAGACATAGCTGAATTGGACAAGAGATGTCCAAAGCACAAGAACCATTGCTTATGCCTTAGACAAAACAAAAAGTAGGTGTTAAGTATATAAATATGGGAATAATATTCACAATAGCAAGTAACATTTATGGAGTGCTTATTGTATGTTACGTACCATTCTAAGTGCTCTGCAAATCTTCACAGCAACCCGATGGAGTTTGCACTATTATTAACCCATTATAGAGACCAGGAACTGGGGAACAGAGAAGTGAATAGAAACATGTACGGTCTCAAAGAGTTTTTTGTAGAGTTAGAAAATTAACACTTCATTCATGCAAGTAGCTGAATACCTACTAGTGACTTGAATTTATTAAAGTTTATGTACCTTTTTAGTGCTTACACAAAGGAGCTCACGATAGAATTGAGGACTGTTTATGTAAACCAGACTTCTGAATGTGTTCATAGAGGGGAAGGAAGATTCAAGGCAAGCATGCCGACAGTTTCTTGTATCATCTTCCAATTGAACTACTCCTGGAATCATGTTGGAAACCTAGGGAGATTGGGCTGTGGTAAAAGTGAAAACAAAATCTCAGGAGAACTGATTGACCAAAATCTTTGTGCCACATTGAGTAGGTTAAGGGACATCAGTAACTACATCAGTGATGGCGTTGGCAGCAACAGAGAAGTTGGCTTGGCCAATCATAAGAAGTGACATTGCTGGTATCTCCACAGCTAAATTAATATCTTTGGCATTAGCACTTTGACACTTGTTCACTTAGGTAGATATCAGTGGATGAGACCGAGCAGGAGAGGAGGAAAGTGACAGATACCATTTGATAGCCAAGAAACAGTGTTCATGAGCTTATCAGTCATCTCCTGGGGACTCCATGACATTTGCTTATGGTGGTGGGGGTGCAGGTGTGAGAGGGAAGCGTATTGACAATTGTGGAGGCAGGAAATCCCTAATAACGTAATTTTCTACTTCAGTTTAGTAGTTGTTTTGGGGACATCAATTCCATACCAGTGTCATTTAGTAGATGTGTGTTCTGGGCACATGCCTATACCTCAGCTCCTCTATATAAGGGTGCTAGTAATAGAATTTACCTCACTGGGATCTTTTAAGGTTTAAATAGGTTAATATAAATAAAGAGCTAATAGTGGTACCTGTGGCCATTCTCCTAAGTGCTAACTCTG